TGCCTATCACATTTATTCCTCAATCCTTGCACCACAACAATGTCACCACTAACTTCATATACATCACGAATTTTTATCCTAGGCTCCAATTGATCCCTATAAATTCTTTTCAATTTTGCATTAATCCTATCCATCTTAGTTGTCATATTTTCAACCATCATCTCAAACCTTCGAATCATCCTTTCCGACATGTATGAATTTGACATATTTTTTTCGACACTTTTTTTTGACTCTTTTTCTTACTCTTTTTTGACACTTTTTTTTTACTCAGAAAAAAATTAATAGTACCGTATGGGTGAATAATAAAAAAAAAATCAACTTTTTTTTTACTCACTGGATAGAAAATTCAATTACAAATCCAGAAAAATAAACAGAAGTTGTTTTGGATACCAAATCAGCCCAAAAACAACTTTTGAAATTTTAACAGGATTTAAATGGATTAAAGACTCAACAAAACTGACTGACTGAAAGAACACGAAAAACAATAAGGAAAAAATAACGACTGACTCAACGAAAAAAAAAGATATAACCTTGATCTTGGTGCCTAAAGCTCTGATACCAAATGATGCAAACCCGATCGATAAGATTATAATCGAACCCACAGGATATTGAATCGGATCCCAAGAAGGTCCAAATAACGACCAAGGTTTAGAATCTAATCCCCAAATGTTAAATTAAGCAACCGGAGGTATATTAAACCAACGACCTCTTGATCACAAAGCCTCAAAATTACACTCGGATTTGTGGATTTGATCTAAAGAATTAATGAATCAAACAACCCAACGGTAACGACGTCGTGAAGGACCTTTTGATTACACAACCCAAAGAAATCAACCCGATAATTTTGAACTCCACAAGATGTTTAAATCTTGATAAGTTCAAAAGTTTGAAGCATCTCACCCCGAAAGAGAAAATTCTCCATTCACTAATTCATAATGTCAAAGGTGTTACAATAATGAAGAAATTTCCTATTTATACTAAACTAGGAAATAAGATAAAACGAAAAAAAAAAATAAGTCCAAAATATATTAAAGATGCTAAAATATTAGAATTCTAACTAAACTAGGAAACTGGCAAAAAAGATGGAATCTCGGATCACATCATATCCTTTTCCCCTGGGAGTTCATAAATCTTTATTGGAACATATCTTGGTAGGTGTTGCCTGTTATTTTGAGATGCCACTACCATTTTTCTCCTATTCTGCTTTAATCTCTTTGGATTTGAATGACTTTTCCTTCTTCAGTTTTGTGGACATTGGTAAGTGAAGATCACAAGTTTTTACACAGGAAGCTTTTTGTGCACTAGGGATTGGTTATAAGGTTTATGTTAGATGGTGTTATCCCACAATGATTGATGATGGAAATAAATACCAATTTATAATGGATTGGGTTTCTCCACTTAATAAAGTTGATCTTATTAAGATGGGCCCCAAACTTTAAAATGGTATCAAAGACAACCCGTGATTTTCAAGATTGGCCTGCTCAAATGAGCCACCATCTTGAGGGGGGCTGTTAGATGGTATTATCCCCCATCGATTGATGATGGAAATAAATACCAATTTACAAAGGATCGAGTTTCTCCACTTAATAAGGTTGACCTTATTAAGATGGACCCAAACTCTAAAATTATTTAGGTATTATATCCCACATCGAATGATAATAGAAATAAATATCAATTGATAAAGGATTGGACTTCTCCACTTAATAAGGTTGACCTTATTAAGATGGACCGTAAACTTTAATATGGTTTCAGAGCCATCCGTGTGGATTCCAAGATTGGTCTGCTCAAGTGAGCCACCATCTTGTCTGGAGGCTGATTTTGAGACGATTGCTGACTTTCTCCTAGGAGCAGTACAGATTACAAGTTCCGTGCAGAGAGGACACTAGAAAGTGCCGAAATCTTTTCTCAAGGGACTTAAGAGCATCAAAGAAATTGTCAAGCTAAGAACAAGAGTTGAAAGTTTCGCATCTCATCCTAGTTTGCATTGTCGGGATTTGATATCTAATTTCTTCTGCAAGTATGAATGGAAGAACATATTCTTGTGTCCAAAGGCAGACTTATCTCTATTATACATCTGGATAAATACCATCATTCAATTTGTATCTGGGCATTTGTGTTGAATTTTAGTTTATTTTTCATTTTCTTGTGGATTCTAGATTTGCGTTCAAGGTTTTGAGTTGCGTCAATCTTATTCATATTAATTTAGGTTGTTTTTCTATATCTGGAAAAAAAATACTTCAAAATTCACGAACTTCAAAATTTATATGTTATTTAAATTGATTCATGTTTCGATATTTTTTTTTGGATGATTGGATCATTGTGGTGTTTCACTTTGAATGTCCGAGTATACCTAGAGTAGTTGTATTCACAATTTTGATCAATATAATGTATTTACCCGATCACAAAAAAAAAAAATGTATAGATGCTTACTTAGATGTTTGAGGTTTGTTAATTAATTTATTAAATGAAGTTGCAGCTATGGAATATTCATGTTGTTGGTCGTGGACAATAATCCAATTCGAAATCATGGCTAATTGAACTTTGATAAGATTTGCTTGCTCTTTAAATTTGATATAATCTGATTATTTTCTATCATATTATTGTGGAAACATGAATTTTCCAAAAAATTATAATCATGGTTTGCATGCAATACTAATTTATTTATGAAAACACCATTGTTTAATATTTCTAAAAATTGATTGAATAATTTTCATGGAAAAACTTTCAATTTCCATGGAAAAACTAAAGTTGTAAAAAATGACTATTTCCATAGAAAATAATGGCTATCAAACATCAAAAGATGGAAAATTGCAACATTTTCTAGGTTGAAATTTAAGTCAATCAAACACGTATAATTAACAATTTCCATGTAAATAATTTCCAGACAATTGAATTATCTGGAAAACATTTTTTTTCATGCAATTTTCCTGCTTGCAATCAAAAGTTAATCAAACACGTGTAATAAACAATTTCCATGTGAATAATTTCTAGGTAATAGAATTACCTGGAAAAATATTTCATTTCCATGTAATTTTCCGACTTACGATCAAATGCACCCTAATAGGTTTTTTTTTGTTTATATTCAGATATGTCATGATAGAAAGACAATCGAAGCTTAAGTAGTCCATAAAACTATCCTCGATTGCCTCTTTGATCTTAAAGAAGTCAGTAGACAACCTTGTCGATTATTCCCAGGATAAAAGCGTATTCTTTTTTCTAAGTTTAACGATAATAGAAAGAATAAAATTGTGGAAGTAAGATTACAGAAAAAGGCAAAAAGAAAGAAAAAGACTAAAAAAAATTAAAAAATGGTTAATTACCTGATTGGTCATTGAACTTTGCATAAGATTTCAAGAGGGTCATTAAACTTTACAAAAGTTTCTCCATTAGTCACTGAGTGATGGATGTGATTATGTTTTGTAAAGTCCAGTGACAAGTAATGGGAAAACTTTTGAAGTTCTCAATGATAGATGAGATTACATTTGAAATGAGGAAGCGTTTGATTGGGGCTCAAACAGGGCCTTATATGGGGGTGATGTATCCAAGCGTATGAGGGAATCACAATTCCAGTTTCTATTTTTCTTTTATGAACTGGATTGGAACCTCTCGAAATGTTCAATTACGATTATAATGAGGGAATCACAATTCCAATTTCTATTTTTCCAGTACGTGAATGTTGAATAAAACATATAGTACTTTGTCTATATATATATTGAAAGTTAATTACCTATTATTTCACGTAAATTCATAAAAAAAATTATTCATGTAAAATTCATAAGAGTAATGAAAATAAGCACAATTATTTAAAATATTAATAAAAATGTTAAATAAATATTATAAATTTAATAAAACATCAAATAAATTCATTCTATGGAAATAAAATTATGAAAATGGGAAAAAATTACATACAATTCTCTACTACACAATTAATAAATTTTGAAATAAAAAAAATTAATACAATTTTTTTTAATAGTTGCCAAACAAGGACTTGATTTCACTTCCCCTAACTTTAATATTTCATCGACCAGATTTAATTACACGTAAATTTAGAGCAAAATTGGAAGAGTTAAAAAATGATTTGTACAAAGAAAATATTTTTGGCCCAGTTGTTGCTCACATATACATGATTGAATTTAAAAAAAGAAGGCTCCCTCATGCATATTTATTGTTGATTTTCAATTCCACCCATAAAATTTGTTGTGCTGAACAAGTTGATATGATAGTGTCATGTGAAATTCCCAATAAGAATAAATACTTACATTTTCATTCTGTAATTGCAAAACACAATATGCACGGTCCTTGTGGAAACCTTAATCCAAAAAAGTGTGTATGTTGGCAAGTAGTGGTTGTAAAAATAAATATTCTAAGGATTATTGTAACAGTACTATATTTTGTGATAACTTATACCCATTGTATAGGTGTCGTAATAATGGTATTTCTATTAAAGTGAGAGGTTAAATGTTAGATAATCGGTGGGTTGTACCATATAATCCTTATTTAAGCGCAAAATTTGACTGTCATATTGACGTTAAAGTATGTTCTTCTATTAAATTAATAAATTATTTGTATTTTGTACAAATATGTGGATAACGGACATGATTTTATTAATTATTTTGTAGGCAAAAATGAAACGGATAAGGAAATTGATGAAATTTCTGCTTACCAATCAGTTAGATGGATATCTCTACTTGAAGTTATATGGAGAATTTTTCTTTCAATTAGTTAGAAATTTATCTACTGTTTATGCTTTATAATTTCATATTAAAGATCATCAGCACGTAACTTACAACAGTAAAGATGATTTATCTATTATTATTGGAAATATATATACGAGAAGAACAATGTTATTTTTGGGAATTGATGGAATCCGTTTAATGTTGTCAACTGATCAAACTTTGGGTATTCGGTTGAGTAAATTAAAATGTTGGCAACAAAGTTGCAAAAAAAGTAAAAAGTTGGGGACCTTTTTGTAATAAAACCGGCATAAAAATCGGTCGAGCTCTCCAGATGTCCGTTCGGCTCTCGCGGGCTCTTGTGCTAGGGTTTTATCGTTCTCTTGATTCAAGCTTCTTTAGCTCTCTCCATCAGAAATCTTGCGAATGGAATTCAGAGGTGGAAAAAGGAGAGGTAGGCCCGAAGGTGCGTTCAACGGCAATGGCGGTATCAAGAAATCCAAGCAAGGTCTGTTTTTCATCCTCTTTTACTCAGTTCTAGGGTTACTTTTTTTCCCCCCCGTCTTTTCGACTACCTTTGTTCGCGGTCAGTATTTGGTACTAGTAAACAAGTGTTCTGCGCTTGGCTACTGGGTCAAGAGTTGTATTGTGGATTTCCTTATGGTATTACTGTTACTTCATAATGTGATTCATTTGTCGTTATTATTTTTCTTTTTTTCGATTTACTGTTTTGTGGGAATAGATACCTGATTGAGTTGGATTATTACCCACAGTCAAATCGTTTATTTTCTCATTTTGTATTGTTAGATAAAATATTATGAAATTTGAAGATTCCCTTTCACTTATACAAGAGATAAGGATGTTATTGTACTTGTGAATTGTGATTTTTGGTGGAGACTCCAGGTATCTTGAAAAATCGTGTTTGAGGTTGAGTGGTGAATAGATGTTTTAAATTTATGGTCCTAAATGAGCTAATATCAGTTAATTACGAATTGATGAGAGCCTATGGGTACCCTAAAGTTCTCAACGGCCAAATTTCCAAGCAAAAAATGCTACCCTTTTTAGGGCCTTTATGGTGTCTTTAACCAGAATGTCAATTATGATCTTTTTGGGATTACAACTATATCATATTGTTAATGGTGATGATCATATGACTCTTAATCATTACTTGAAGTATGAAGATTAGTAACTCGTAAGTTTTAGCTGAGGAAAACAATTAATTTTCTGCAACAGAAATGGAGTCCTTTACAACTGGTATAGGAAGCAAATCGAAGCCATGCACAAAGTTTTTCAGGTTCTAATCTTGACCTATCTAAGATTAATACTTTAACTGCAACTTTTATATGTTGGTAATTATCGTAATGTAGATAGAAGATTTTTTCTCATTTATAGTAAAAGAATAACGTTTTCTGGACTAATCAAAGGGACGTCAAAGTTGTGAAACAGGTTGTACTCATTGCTTAATTGATAAGTGGCTATTGAACGGAAATGGCTGAACGGCAGTTCAATTGAATTAAGCACTTGCTTGGAATGATGTAACCCCTATTGAATGGAAGAGGTTGATTAATGAAAGTTATCAAAAGAAGTTCCTTGGGACAAACAATTTGCATCAACTTTTACTGATATTATATTTATATGACTCCTTTTGCAACTGTGGTGAATGACTTGTTAGATTAATTAATGGATTGTATTGAATTAAGTAATGCCTGTTTCTGGGTAGTATATTCCAGTCTGAACAGTGGTATGGAGTATGGGCTTCAGAGGTTTCAAACTTTCTCAATGATTTAGTCAGGGATCTTTCTTGTGTGGTAAATCTTAGTACTAATAATGTGAAAAAAAAGGAGCTTATGCATTGCTTGTGATTAGCCTCTTCAGGTTACCAAAAGTTTGTGCTTGCTAACACTGTAGGTTTCTTACATGCTTGAATTGGTTATTGCACTTTTTCTATTGTATAAATTCTCGTTTGCATTTGTTTATTTTTATTATTTTTCATGCTCGATCTTTGTACTCAATTCATTCTTGAAAAAAATTTATTACTTCGAACTTGCATATAGCTTAACTGCATCCTACGGCTCCATAATGTTCATACTATTAGTGAATATCTTTGTCCTGAGTTCATAGTATTGATGAAGATAACATCTCAAATATTTCAAGCGAGCAAATGGGACTTCCCTTTGCACTTCTGCATGGTTGGTCGCTTATTCTCCCTTGGTTATCCTAATTGATTTAAAAAAAAAAATTCAATGAATTTTAATTTTCAATATGTTGCTGCACATTTCACATGTCAGGGAGGCGTGGTTAGTTGTACGTTTTAACAGGTTATTGTTTACTGAGGTCCAAGCCGAAGAATATCGTGCTTCTTTTGCACATTTAAATTCTTTGAAACCATAAAACAGATTTCTAGGACCCCCTATGGACTTCTCAGAATGGCTTCCTAAGCTCTTATTAACCTGCTAAAGCCTGTAATTCCTCATAACAATCACTTTTTACCTTCTAATTTCATTAAAACTGCTTATGAGTTTCTGTTTCTCTTTCTTCTGGTGTAAATGATTTTTAAATGGCAGTTCGTGGAAGAGTGAATGCTATTGGTACACCTCAGGGCCATTGAGGGCATTGGGATGTAATGAATGTGTAAGATAGTCAGAGGTTCCGTGAACATAAATCAGAGGTTCCATGAGCATTAATTCTGAAACTTCTTTTTCTTTCCTGGGAGCTTTTGAAAATTTGTTTAACATTGGAGTTATTAGTTTTCAGTGGTTGGGTTATGGATGGACAGGTTATTATTTTGTTTATGAACTGTATGAAGTGCATGTAATGGTAATATCGTTTGGCTTTATGCTTGTTGATAGTGTTGCATGTAAGAATCATTGAGAGTCTATTATAATTGGGTTGAGAATCTGTTGAATAAGAAATAGATGGGATGTCCTGTGAGTGGGTTCTGTGTGTTGAGCAGTTTCTGTTAGCCATTCTCTATTTTACTTCAGCAATTCTTGGTTTGATAGGCATTAGTTCCTGGAATTGTATTAAATTATTCTAGTTGAGTTTGATAGAGGATCGGTCAACTTTTTTTTTAGTTTTTAAAATCGTTCTTAGAAATTTCTTGTGGAACTTTAAAGGGTAACTTTTTTCAATTGTATTATAATTTCTAATTAAGGAACAGTTGGAAGAGAGCTCTTCGTAAAAGAGGATAATGAGTGTTGGAGTCTGGGTTGGTTTGTAAACTGCAGAGAGTTAATTTTCTGATTTCGGTGGTCAAAATAGCACTATTCTCAAATTAGAATTGAAGATGCTTCAGGATGAATCTGTACTGCTTTGGCAGTTTACCAAAATTGCACCAATAGGTGCAACCCTCGGCATTTGGCATTTGGTGTAAAAAACAGATGAACTTATCACATTGTTGAGTTGGATCATCTGAGCTATGTTATCCTTCGTGTTGTCATTTCGAAATTTGCTGTTATGCAAGATAATTCTGTATTTGTTTGCAAGTACTATTTTGCGTTCCTCCTATTTACCTGATTTATCTGTAAACAGTCCCTCTGGCTGTCCATTTGGGGAGGGATGTCACTTCTTGCATTATGTCCCTGGAGGCATTAAAGCTGTCACTCAGATGCTCGGCAGCAATCCAGCCCTTCCAGCAGCTGCCAGAAGCCCGGCAGTCCCATCATCTTTTCCCGATGGATCATCCCCTCTGGCTGTGAAAACTCGTTTATGCAACAGATACAACTCAGCCGAAGGATGCAAGTTTGGTGACAAATGTCATTTTGCACATGGTGAGTGGGAGCTTGGGAAGCCATCCATTGCATCATATGAGGATCCTCGAGCTATGTCAGGGAGATATGCTGGTGACCGTTTGGAGCCAACTCCATCAAACCTTGGAGCTGCTGCCAGCTTTGGAGCCTCTGCCACAGCTAAAATCAGTGTTGATGCTTCCCTTGCAGGAGCCATCATAGGAAAAGGTGGGGTGAACTCAAAGCAGATCTGCCGGTTGACAGGTGCTAAACTTGCTGTAAGAGATCATGAGTCTGATGCTAATTTGAGGAACATTGAACTTGAGGGTACATTTGATCAGATCAAAGAGGCTAGTCAAATGGTACGTGAACTTATAGTTAGTGTTAGTTCGAATTTGGGACCACCCAAAAGGAATCCTGTGATGCAAGGTCAAGCTCCTGCCAGCAACTTCAAGACAAAACTTTGTGAAAACTTTGCCAAAGGATCCTGTACTTTTGGAGAACGGTGCCACTTTGCACATGGAGAAGAAGAATTGCGCAAGTCAGGGATATGAACTTTTCTGTGATCTTTCTTATCGTTCTCTCGTTCTTTGATCTTGCGATGTCGTCTGTGCTGTCCATCTTCTTGACATCAGTGAAATAGATAGATTAAAATCGTAATTTAAGATTTTGGGTTTTAAATATGTCAACACATTTGATTTTTGTTGTTGGAATTCACTTGTTTTTGTGATTTGGTTTACTTGTTTTATTGCTCTCGTGTAAGTTTCTGGAGGCTGCTTCGTTTTGACCCCCCATGGTTCAATCCAGAGGCACTAACTCAAAATCTGTATTCGGTGTACTCTCTCTAGTAATAATTTGGAGCTTTACTGAATTTGTGGTGTCTAGAAGCTGTTGTCTTACACTTTTCACATCTTGAGACAGGATTATTTGCTATACACAACATTTTTAAAGATCATAAATTAACTTGGTACGATTGAAAAAATTGATTTATGTACATTAAGTGATTTGCAAATGGTAAATATGAGAACAACGATCAACGAATGAACCAAGATTGTTTGCCTAACTTTCATTATTATATGATTGTGATCTCATATTTCGAACTCAGTTTCTACAATATTTTTGAGTATGTGTATTGGTCAATTTAACATTTGCTAGACTTTTAAAAAATACTGACACGAGTATGATTATTCTGTGGCCACAGTCCCCCTGCACTAATTGTGGGGCTGTGTCATGTGAGGGTGAGGGGCTGTAAGGTTTTACAGCCCTGAACCATCATTTTTCGAAATTGATATGGTCATTACATTTGTACTTTTCACATCCTTGACAGTTTCTTTTGTATAAATAAATTTTTCAACAATCATATTATAATTTTGCAGGATGAAGATTTGACGTATGTACATCTAGTGGTTTAATTATGGTAACTAACATGATGAATCAAGACCTTTAGTCTATCTTTTACTATTCTAGGAGTTTGAGCTCAATTTTATGAACTCCTCTTTATAATATTTTTTATGTATGTGCATTAATCAAATAAGCTCCTCTTTATAATATTTTTTAATGTATGTGCATTAATCAAATAAGCCTTTATAAAGCGTTTTTGAGTCGTAAGGACATAATGATCAATATTCTAGTACTGAGACAATAATGAAATCATTACGATAATTACATACAAAATCTGCACTTTTCATGTATTGGACAACATTATTTGCTATATATAATATTTTTAGCGATCAGTCGTTAATTTGGTATGATAAAAAAATTGATATACTATAGTAAAAAACCCGGAATCAACAACCCATGAAAACATTGAACAACTTTGCATGGGTTTATGAAATTGGTTGTGACTCGCAGGACTTACCTTTCCAATGGTATTAGCATTTATGATCTTATAATTTCTAATATTCTATGAAGTTCAATTTTTCAGTTCAAATTTCTGAAGTCTTATTTTCGACGACTTTTTGAAAATTAACATAAGTTCACGTAGAAAGTAGCTCTATTTTACATTTTTTTTTTTAATTAAAAGTAGGCTCGTAAGGATGTCCAATTATATAAAGATTAATAATCTGGAAATTTTCTGGCCAACTTTGTGGCTTCTGCCAGAGTTAAAATCAGCCATTATCAGAAAGGTGAACTGAACTCAAAGCAAATCTGTTCGTTGGCATGAGCTAAACTCGCTGTAAGAGATCACGGGTTTGATGCTAATTGAAGGAACATTGAACTCGAGTGTATATTGATCAAATCAAATAGGTGAGTCAATTTGTTGTACTTCGAGACCACCAAAAAGGAATCCTATAATGGCGAGTCAAGCTCCCACTGACAAAATTTTCACCTATGGATTGTGTGCATTCGGAGAAAGATGTCACTGTGTACGAGGAAAAGAAGCATTGCTTAAGCCTCGGGTATGAAATATTTCTATTTTCTCTCATTGTTTTTAGTGATGGTAACGGGGAGGTCGGGATGGGGAGAACAATTCCCATTGCCCGTTAGGTATGTTTGTTTCTGTTGACACGCTAAAAGTGCAGCCCATTTCAAATAGTCCAAAGAATGAAACCCAACTGGGCAATTTAGGATGAAGGCCCAAATAGGATTATTAATAAATGCAGTGGAAGCCCACGAACGCGGTAACACCATCGCCCAAACTTACAAGACGCCCAAGATCTGAGCGAATGAAGTGCCGTCGCCCAGAGTTATAACCCCGTTCTCGCCCAAACCTTCGAATCGCCCAAGATCTTAGCAAACATAAGGTATTATGGTTATCCAAAAGTACAGTTATTGGGTAATTTTATCACGTTCCACGATTCAAGAAGTTCAGTTGAAGACGGTTGAACGACAAAGAGTAGTGGCAGCATTTAGAGACGGCATTTCCACGATAAGATTGGCCACCATGAAGAAAGTGGGCAGTTATAAAGCAATTGAGCAGTTTCTAAGCGGTTGCTCACAAAGAGAGCATCAAGGGAATATAAAAGGGAGAAAAGACATAGAGTAAAGGACCCCTAATCAAACACTCTCAAACAGAGAATATGTAATTTCAATTCCTTAGTTTAGACTTAAAACATTTCTTTTCAATACTCGTGTGCTTGCGCCCCTTGGAGGCATTTTGTTTAAAGTTCCAATTATAAAGTCATCGCCAGTAAAACACCCCTTTTTGAGACTTTGTCTCAAGAGGTTTGTTCCTTACACAATCGTTTAATCCCTTTTTAATTGTTAGCGACTATCCACGCGAAACAATTTGGCACGCCCAGTGGAACATTGGTGTTTGGTGTTGAAGATACAAAAGGTAAAACAATATGCCTCAGAAATTCGATAAGGAAACAGCAAGCCAGGGAGGAGTCCAGTCTGTAATCGAACGATATGAGGAGCAGCATAACTCTTCACGAACAGATGGACAAGATCAGAGCAATCACAGTCATTACGAACCAATGACAGAGTTGAGTCCTCGAACCATGCATGCATTACTCGGAGAACTCACACAAGATGTCGTTGAACGGTTAAATCTACGAAGTATTCATAATATGGAAAGATTTACTCAGAATTGGAATGCACATTATGACAACATGGCCAAACAACTGAATGCTTTAAACGAAATAATGAATAAGTTGGTAGGCCAAATTTGTCAGCCAGTTGTGCCTCTTACAAACACTTTCAAACTAGGACAATTGTGGGACATAAGCCCCCAGTCCTAAGTTTAAATCAAGGGGTAGAACCACCTTTGATCCCTCTACTTCAAACCAGGGGGTGGTGCAATACCAAACAGAATAGTGTCATTGGAACATCTAACTTGGGGGGTAATCCAAATATAAGAGATAATGTCCTAAATAATGGGCAGAATACCCCACGTGTTAATCAGGGAATAAATGTTCAGGCTAATGATAACAATGACCCAAATCATGGTAACTTTGTTGCCAATCAAAGACCAAACATCAGGCCTCAAGCAAATCAACCGGTCAACCAACCTGTAGGAATTTCATATGACCCCAACGTCATATTGAGGAATCAGATTATGGAAATCGTACAGGATCAGATAGCTTTTGGAGTACGTCCTGTTATTAAGCCGACTTACACAAAGCCATATCCTGATTGGGTAGGCCAAGCATATCTGTGGCCTAGAGGGTATAAAGTGCCAGAATTCTCACTGTTTACCGGTTTAGGAGAGGTGTCTACTCTAGAACACATAGGGCGATTCACACTGCAAAGTGGTGACGTAACTGATTACCATAAAATGAGGTTGTTCCCTAGTTCATTAACAGGAGTAGCCTTCTCCTGTTACATCAATTTGCCAGCAAACTCTGTTCAAATATGGCAACAATTGGAGCAATTGTTCCACGCTCAGTTTTATAAGACTGAGTCTGAAGTTACTTTGGCCGATTTGGCAAATCTACGTCAAATGCCAAACGAATGGGCAGAAGGTTTCATTCAAAGGTTCAAAACAGCAAGAAGTAAATGTTTTGTACCTTTGCCCGAGAAGGAGTTTGTCAAAATCGCTCAAAGTTGTCTAAGCTTTAATCTGAAGAAGAAATTCCAAAACAAGGAATTTCTTGATTTTTTTCAATTGAGCGCGAACGTGATTAGGTATGAACGATTAATAAGAGAGGAAGAACAAATGAAAAATTCCAGCAAAGGGACTTATTATAGAGACCCAAATTTTGATGTTCATATCATTAACGACGAGTATTACGATCAAACCGAAATGTGTTTGGCCGAATTAGTTAAAGGAGACACATATACTTGTCCTATAATGGCTAAGCCTAGACCGTCAGGCAAAGATGAGCCTATAAAAGATGAAAACATAAAGGCTAGAACGTTCTCGTTCGATGTAACCAAAGATGACCTTATATTTGATAAATTATATGAGGATAAGCAGATAAAGTTGAGCGATAAGTATAAATTGCCAAGCCCTGAACAAATTAAGGGTAAAAAATATTGTAAATGGCATAATGCATAGTCACATTTGACTAACAACTGTTTGGTTTTTCGCCATGTGTTACAGGATGCCATTGAAAAAGGATGAATTACGTTCGAGGATAAGAGGAAGATGGCAGTGGATGAAAATCCTTTTCCACAGCCATTTGGAGTGAACATGGTGACGTCTGGTTTCAAAAGCAAGTTGCCAAAATCAAGTTGGTTATAGATGATGGAGAAGAAGAAGTTGGACCACATCCCAGTGTTTTTGAACGTATCAAAGGGAATGAGCCCAAAAAGGACGAAGAAGTCCTATGTGCAAGATGCAAAAAAGAAGTGAGTGCAAATGCAGAGAAACCAGGGATATGGCAGTGTTCGCAAAATTATTTCTTCTCGATTTTAAAACACACCGCAAGTGTACGGTTCGTTAACAAGTAGTAAAATGGACTATGAGTCCAAGTATCATTCTCACGAGGATTGAATTAGCTCTAATTAAACTAATGTGACCTTAACCGAATCTAATTGAATGAAAATTTGGTTTAAATGTGAAAACCCTAATTTTGAGAGAAATCCCCAATTTGAAACCCTAATTTCAAAATTGGAAACCCTAATTTCGAAATTTCACTAATCTAATGAAATAAACACGCAACTGAAATGTAAATATGAAATTTTAGAACTATTGTATTGAAATGAATTGAAATGAAATCATTAAGAACTTGAATCCCCAATTGACTATTAAAAACCCTAATTTCACAAATTCAACGAATCGATGGAACAAAATGCCAATTCAATGTTCCTAAATTATCCAATACACTCTCTCGATATATATTGAATCTACTCTTACACACCACCAGCCTATATTTCTATGGATGATGCAATGTACAAGAATGCATGACTTTTTATGAACATATTCATGAATTGCATAAAGCATAGAGGTAAGTTTCCATCCCCTATCGGACTCTATGTCAATTT